GAATATGGGGGTCTCCCTCAGAACCAAGCAAATGGCGTTGAATTAGTAAATAGCATAAAGACAGGGAGCAGCCTTTCCCTGACTCAGAAAAGGTTCAAGCAACCAGTTAACATGACTTTTATATCTCAAGGTGCAAGGCCATTTAATAATATGTAAGTAATGGAACACTGCAACTGATTCTGCTTTAAACAGAAAGCCAATGCTGAGCTCTGTGAACATGTGTAATGTGTTCATATTTCCTGGTACCTGTGAGAATACGAGCAGCTGCATTTTGAATCAGAAGTCCGTTCCACTGGTCCAGTTATAAATGCATGAATGGAGTTTTTGAAGTTAGATAACTTTTTGTCTTCAGAAGTTTCTCTAACGATAAGAAGTGACAGGTTGGATGTGATATAAAATTTACATCACTGTCTAATATTACACAGAGGCTTTGTTTCAATTTTAGACTCCAGGGAGTGAGAGCTTTGATGAACTGCAGCTTCCTGGTTTGTAGTCTTTGCACTGCAAATGAGCATTTCTGTTGTTTAGTTGTAAGACGTGTGACTGACATTCATGCAATAGTATCATCGTGAGGACGTTTATAGGATCTAACAGCAGAAGATATGGAAATCTCCAGCTGTAAATTTGTTTACATAGATATAGCTCACATTATGTTTCTGAATAGCACGTACAAGTGGAAACAAATAAAACTGTAAAAGAAATTAAACTTTAAGTTCCTGRCATGCATGTCCTTCAAWTACTGTACAAAAAGTCAAAGAATATCTGATTAAATTAAAGAAATTTTACATATTACACAYGATTTTTACCCATTTTGTCACATAACTKGTGTATCTTCTATTGAACGTGGCTCGGCCAAAGTGAAACAGGAAGTGATGTCAAAGGGGAACTATTTAAGAATGAGAACTTCCGGRTCTTTGTTTATTAGAACAATATTATTTGAACGTTGAGTCTTCTACAACTCTCTGATAGTGACTCAAAATAATCTAAAAACCATCAGATTCTTCTCTACAGTGTGTGCTGTCGGTCATGCTCTGTTCGTATGCACACATTAACCTTTGGCATCACTTCCTGTTTCTTCACATGTGAATAAAAAATGGTTAATCTCAGCAGCATGAATCTTTTTTATTTATGTTGCTGTTTATTTATATTATCTTTCAAAGAAATGTGGTTATTTCTAGTACATAGATTTGATGTTAGAGGCACTTTAAAGTACACAACAAACAACATCCACTCTGTCAGAATCAAAACCACCAGTGAACACTAAAACRCTTTATCTCTGATGCTGTACATGTTCAGAACCAGTTCAGAACTGGACCAGAGGTGCCTTTTATTTTCTTTTGGGAATATTTGATACGCATGAAAAARTTATGATTTTTGTAGTTTTTATATTCAATACAATGCTGATGTTGCTTCAGGTAAAAAAGCAGGTTCACAGAAAAGCACTTTCAAATAACTAAAGAAAAAGTATTTGGCTTCTTTAATCAGTACAAGAAGAAATAGGAAACATAAATCAGTTTTTGTAATTACCAGCCAGTTGGTTTTCAGGCAGTTCCACCTGGAGAAACACTCAGCACATAARGTGTTTTGTATTGTCTTCATTTGTAATCCTAATTGCTACTTAAAGACAAATTACATCACCTGCAAAGTTTTCCTGTGTCCAGCCTTTATACTGAGCTTATTTAGAAAAAAAAAGTTATGTTGCTTTGCCATTGCTTATAACTTTTTTTTTTCTTAAAACAGTCCAGATAAAAAACTAATTGTGTAATACTTTCAAGTCATGGATGAACGAAAACATTCTTCAACTGAACTGAGGTCATGTYGATTGGCATGCCTTATCAAGTTCAGTCATCTCCCATTACAGCTACTGTATAACCTTTTCTGGACAGGACATCACTCTCACCAACCTTGGTGTCCAGTGTGACCCTCACMTTTCTTTTGATACCCGTGTAAGACACCTGTGCAAAACCTCGTTTTATCATCTAAAAACATTGCTAATGTCATTCCATCACTTTTTTGGCTAGACGCTGAAAAACTTGTAAATGCAATTCAGGGGTGGTTCTAGGGCCGTGGCCACAGGGGTATTGGCCCCAGCTGAAATCTGATTGGCCCCCTGAAGTGCCCCTGTCCTGTCACTCATCTGTCCTTTGCCTGAGATGAGTGATGGTKTGTGCAGTTCCATGTCCAAACACTAGTGGCGTTAATGAGTCAAATAGGAAAGTCCAGCATGAATCAATCTAACAGAATTAGTTTCTTCTTAAGAAAATCTGAACAACCTTGCAGAAAAAGTATTTCAATTGACAAATGATGGATGCATTTTCTCATATGCTGTGCGTTTGAGAGCATTTTATCAATGTACAGTAAAAATACACGTAAAATTGCTAAGGATAATTTACTGTTCAAGCTTTTTTAAATTATATTACAAGTGTTTGAACATATGACTGGTAAAATGTATACACCTTACCAAAACCAGGGATTTAATGCAAGAATGCTGAACAAATAAATACTTGGCCCCTGTATGAATATTGTGTCCCCTTGATGGCCCCTTATTCAGAAAAATCCTGGATCCGCCACTGATGCAATTGCATCTTCATGACTGGACTGTTGCAATTCCATTCTTTCTGGCATCTCAAAACCTCCAGTTCATCCAAACCAGCGCTGCTCAATTTCGGACAAAAACCAAAAACCAAACACCATGAGGACATCACACCAGTCTTCACTGACAATCCAGTACAAGATCAGTCACCTGACACAGCAGTGCATACATGGCAATACCCCCATCTGCCTTAAAGAGCTGCTCCTCCAGAACATAACTCGGTCTCCCCAGTCCAAMAGTTTCTTTTATATGCTTGTATCTGTTTACATCCTTTAGAGCCAGGACCAACCCATGGTCCTAAGGCATTAAATGGGTGAGGTTACTTTAGGGTTTATACCRTCATCAGTATGTGTGCTGTTTCCAAGAGKGTAATCTTCTGGATCTCATGAATTTTGATGTTGCCTGGACCACTGRGACTGTTTTAGTCTTCATGTTCCAWATTCTGCTGACTTCAATTTCCAGAGCTTTATACTTCTTTATAGTTCTGTCATTTTCACAGAGGTGTTTCTTTCTGATGGTATCACCATGTCAATTAGCATGTGAGTCTTGTTTTTCTTGTTCTTGATGACAATGTCAATCAACGTTGACTTTGATTTCTCTGTCTGTCTGGATTGGCATGTCCCATTAT